AAAATATTGATTTTTTGTATTTTGCATTAGTAAACTGAAAACTATATAGTTTTAAATAGTTCTATAACATATAGAGTACACAAGTCTTTGGATAATAATATCTGAATATTTGTAGATTTATTTACATATAGTCGATTTTTACTAGATGAAAAAAAAATCAATATAAAAACAGCAAGAAACTCTAAACACTTTTTTAGATTTACATCAACTTGATATATTGTTTTAAAGTATACTCGTTTCTTGCAAAGGATGATAATAAAAACTACAAAGTAATAAAGACTAAAGTTTTCCGATAGAGCAACTCGAAAGAAAGTGATATATATATATATATATATATATATATATATATATATATCGATGAAAGCTAAAAAACAAAACTTATTTAACGACGGAGAATATAAACCAGAGTCAAGAAATATTTTTTAAATCAAGAAATATTCTTTTATTATCCTATATTTTATAAAAATCAATATTGTAAAATATATAACGTAGTTAAAAAATTGACCTAATATCACTAATCTAATACCTAATATCTCTAATAAGTTAAAATCTATATTAAAAGACACCATAAGCATATCTTTTCTTTTCGCCTTTGGATTTCTTTAAATTATTTTTCAACTGACGTACAATTTCATAAAAAGAATTTTTATAAAATACTAATATATATATATAGAATATAAATTTAGAATAGTTAGATTTATTTATATACATTTTTTCAAGAATATAATTTTTATTAACAATTGCTATTATTATATGAAACGAATACAAATAAATTAATTATTTAAGTTTTATGAAGCAATCGGTTGAGAATATGTATAGTCAAACCGATGATGATAAAAACTACAATGATATTTTGCCAAACAATTACAAATATGATCATAACTAATTTTTAAGTCTCAACTTTTTTATTAATTAAAAAATGAATTAATAACATATTCAAACATTTCATTTAATACCAATCAAGTCAAACTACAAATCCTTTGCAAATGCTATGAAACTTTAAATGTCATTTCTCTAGACGTTATAAATCATTTTGGTCAGATTTTATTGCGGGTAAAAAATGAAACAAAAAAATATTCATAAAATACGGAAAATATTATTTATGACCATATTTGATATCGAGTAAAATAACAAAGAATTGTTGTAATATGAAACTTACGACTGTGTAATGGAATTTATTGCTTTGCTAGGGACGCTATGGGCTGTAAAAATTTATAGTACGGTCGAAATATATATATATATATACGTAATACTTTTTGCGGCACACTTTTCTGCTATCTAGAAACTGAAGAAATGCGATTAGTTTCATTGATGCAATTAAAATTACATTTTTTTATAAAGCGATCTACCATGAAAACATTGTTCTCTGTTAGCAATTACATAAAAATTTGTTCGATATTTTTCAGTTAGATTTTTATAAAAATATTTTTTGTGCTATTCTTCAATAAAAAAGATCAAATCTATAATAGAGCACCTTATTTATTGATCACTAGATATCTTTATGAAGTTGAATATGATATAAAATTATATAAATAAAAAATATATACTAACTTTAAACATTTTTGTTCACTAAAAGATATTTTAATTTTCAGAGCAAACTTATTTCAGTGCAAAAATATTCAAAATGTCATATCGCTAATATTTTCACATCGGATATTTCTCAGAATACATTTAACTCGATATTCTTTTACTATATATATACAATACACTTACATTTTTGCTTAAATCATATTTAAAAAATTGTTTCTTTACTTTTCCTCAAATTATTTAAGTAATTGTTTCTTTACCTTTCCTCAAATTATTTAAGTAATGTAAAGGTAACAACAAAAACTACAACTATTAGTTTGAAAATGAAATTTTCTCATTTTGTACTGCTTAGTCAGTATGCGACATGTTAATATATGGATATAAATATTTTTGAGTTTATCAAAATGTATTAAAATTCTATTTAGCGGAATATATTAAATCTCAGAATTGATAAGACTCTCTTGACTAATTTCAACAGAATTTCATCAATTTGCACAAGCAAACGTTTTTATTAGAAGTATTAGTATGTTAAAAAGTGTTCTAACAAAATCCGGCAGTTTCATTACATTTCATGCATTTTAATTTAAAATTTAAATTTGTCGCGAGATCCAATTACATAACCCCTCATGGAAAAATGTGTTATTTCCGAAAAGAGGAAAAACTCGAGACAAGGAAAATGTTAAGCAAAAAAGTAGGTATTGCATCCCATGAATTATTCACTAAATAGAAATTAAATTGATAAATACTTATTATTGAATAAGGTTTGCTGAGATTTGTAAATAATTAATCGATAAAATAATTCAATAATTTAGAAATATTAAATCTATTCTCAGAGAAAGTTTCTCTGAAAAAGTGAGAACAATATCAGGTTTATGGCTCTGCTTACATTTTTATACCTATTCAATTTATTTTACAACTACAAGATAGTTTATACCAGACTATATAAGGTAGCAATAGTATTATTTCAATTCAAGCAAGAGTTCAATTCAAAAAGAATATTTATTGAAAATTATAGAGAATTACATTTAAATCGAGATAGAGTCTACATTATATATATATATATATATATATATATATATATATATATATATAAACTATGTCTAAATATGTTTATGCAAAAAATGTCAAGAATTCTGCACAAGTACACAAACACTATAAAACACTCTAAATAAATACGAAATCTCTAATTGAATTTGATCAAAATGATTAAAACTTCTATTAATTTTTTACATCGAGCAGCCTAAACCAAAAAATGGTAAGTATTGTTATAAATAATCTAATGTTTTTTTAAAAGTCAATTAAATTTGTAAAATCAATTGTAATAATAAGTAATTCATATTTAAATTACACAGATTTTTGTGAAATATCTTTTTAGTATTGCAGGCATCTACTGATTTTTATGTAAATAATCTAATTTACATTTCTTTAATCGTGGGGAAAAAATCTGTTAAAATTACTTTCTCCATAATTCTATTGCTTATGGACTTCTTTTATTGATTCTGGGTTTTTTTCTAGAGCTTTATTTACCTATATAAAATAACCGCAAATAAATTACTTTCATCAGACTTTATTCCAGAAAAAAAACTTTTTATTTTCATTTGCATGTCTAAAAGAAATGATAATATAACTGACTAAAATGTTATTAATTGGGCAAAATATAACTTATTTGCAATTTTGCAGTATCAGGTCTAATTTGACTACACTATAATTTGATAGTTGACATCGAGATAATCTAATTTAAATGCAATAGATTTTTTTCTCATAAAATTAGAATACAAATATTAAACACTTTTAAACAAAATAAAAAAAAATTTTTTTACTTATCTATTTCTGTATGAAGTAGAATTTTGAATTTAACTTAGCTGTAATAAAAGTATAATAAAAAGTATAATATTTTTAGTTATAATCAAAATACTCAAAAATTTTACTTTTACAGAAATACCCAAATATCCAACCAGGTTGGAGAGCTAAATTAAAACTTTTTATACCATAGTTCGCAATGCAGATTAAAAATTACCATACCTATCTACGAGGATTTTGCGTTGGCGTTTTTGCCCATGTAGGACATAAAGGAAAGAAGAAATAAATTGTAATTAGATACAGAATATCATCCTTTGCACTTCTGCTAATGAAGTTAAATTTACATATGATGAACCTCATAATTAGAAACTATAAAATAAAGCAAACTAGATGGGAGATAATTTTATATAACTAGGTTGTACAACTTTTTCTTTGATCAGCCATAATTTTGTTAATTTAGCTGGGAAAAAAGTAAATTTAATGGTAATTAGAACATGTGTCTACGCGGAAATGCAGAAATTCTCTCTTTAAATTTAATGGATTAGTCATAATTAAGAAAATTATGGGATTAGTCATAAAATCAATTCATACAAGAAAATAAAAACAGTGAATTCACATCCCAAGGACGGTTGTGATGGGCATAAAAATAGGTTAAAATACAAAAAACAATAGATGTAAATTCCAAAATCGCTCATAACAGCTTATAAATATAACGACTTACCATAAATATAATATAACAAAGTAAACCAAAAACATTTAAATACTTTTTTTGTGTATTAATTTTCCTTTTCTTTTCTCTTTCGTATTGTCTTAGTTAATTTTTCTAAAAACTAAAATCTCCGAAACCGCTAGACCTGCCTTCATGAAAATTTGATCAGTTCTTCATCTTGTTAATACAAGTAAAATGTTTTTTGAATTATTCAAATCGGACGTTCCGTTCTGTTAAAAACTGAAATACGTTTTTGGCACTTTTTGCCCCATATCTTCGGAACGGTTAGACCTGCCTTCGCCAAAAACTAATCAGCACGTCTCCTTATCAATACGAATCAAATGTTTTTTGAATTATTCAAATCGCTTCATCCGTGTTCCCGAAATCGTCGACGAAAATTTGTATAGGTACACACATACACACACGCACACACACACATATACACATACATACACACATACATCCATTTTTTCTAAGGTATGCCAAAATATTCAGAAACCTCTGAAACGTAAAGATATATAAAAATTTTCATTTTCGATTTTTTTGCGATTACTATAACTTACCCTACGGGAAGTTAAAAAAAAATTGCAACATAATAAAAATAACAATATAAATATATTCAATATTAATAACCAGTATGGTTATTTGAATATTTTATACTCGAGAAAAAATATGAAAATAAATACATAAAACAAAAAATTAACATAATTTAGGTCAAAACATCATTTAAAAAAATATTTTCAAAATAACATAACTGAGTTTTTACATATTAGTTTCTGTATTATAAAAAAAGTACTACTATTATATATTTCTACCTCTGTTATTTGAAATAATATAATTTTTACGTAATATAAATATTCTCTCTCGCAAATAACGGAATAAACCGAAAAAATATATTATATTATCTCTGTAGATAACGTGAGTGCATAACAAACACTTAATGAATTTATGTTTTTGTTCGCAGCTGCCGCAGACCGAAGTGGATGGCTCGGACCAACAGGGCAGAAGGTACAGGATAGAAAATGGTGAAAGCATCGGGGAAAAAGATGAGGTGAATTTTTTTTTCTTGATCAAATTACAATCTGTTTTTGCAAAAAAAAACATTCAGTAATTCTGAAGATTCATATAAATAATGGAATTGAAATTCTAAAAGATTAAAAGATTACTCAACAGTAATGCTTTTTGATTTTGATAAATTAAATTTGGTTACCATATGAATTAACATTCAGGTAATATATTTTAAATATTAATGTAAATATCTCCGCTTTAGTAATATACAAAAAGCGGAAGGAGATATTTGACAACCTAATAAATAGATGAGTAAATGTGATGAACAGTAAAATAAAAAAATAAAAAAAAGTGCGCGTAAGCTGCACACGCCATTGAAGTAAAACTTAGCGAATTGAAGTTAAGTAAAAATAAATTCATCATATAACAATTTTGAATAATGTTTATTAGTAATATGGTAACACTCATGATGCACACATTCATTAGTGTCAACCATTATACACATTTATATAATGATAAATTATAAATTATATATTTATAATAGCATTAAAAATATGTATAATATTTAAAAACAATAATGTAATTGAAGTCATACTTTAAATATGATATGATCGGTTTGTCATTGTAATTAGCATTTAAAAATGAACCTTCATTGAGAAATGAAGTAATTGCTGATTAAAAACTTCTTTAATATTCGTTCACACAGTGGATTATGTTGAACAACACCTAAACAAATATTGTTTTTGCATTTTCACTCATCATGCAATAATTGTGTTTGAAGAACTTCATGTAATTAAAATTAACATACATTCATTGACTGATGGTATTTTATTTAACCATCGCTAGCGATATAATCTCATTCTTTGAACAGCTATAATATCTGTTTCGCCTAAAAAATATTTTCTATTTCAATAACTTCAAAGATTTATAGAAACTACGAATAATACAGAAATTAATCAATAAACTTATGTTTCATACGCGGCACAAATGCTGCACTTGTTTTATTTTTTTCATTATAGTTATTTACGGGTAACACGGTGAAATATTCTTCTGATTCATGCATTTTTCATTAAATCAAGATTTGTGCTACATTGTAACTTTAAATAGTTTATTTATCTATGCCAATTTCCTTTTTGATATCGGTACGCAAACCACATTGATGCCGGTACGCATGCAACGACAGATTTCTATTCACATACGCGACGACTAATCACAATCGACCCATATAGAAATGCTATCATCGAGAGCGAATGACGAATCATTGGCACTCGACTCTATCTTATCTGTCGTAACGCACTTCCGTTTGTACAAATTTACACCCTAGTCGCGCTTATAGAAGTTTTGCTTCAATAAAAATAAAAATGATTTTAATTCGAGTTATCAATATTCTTATGCATCTATGGAGCGTAGTACCCGTATATTACATTATATTACAATTTTATTATCTTTGTAATTTATTATTGGAATAATTTAGAATGATTATAATCATTAAGCATCATTTATTTTACGTTTTTCACGTGGAATGATTATAATATTTACGACACATTTTTTACATTCTACCATTCTATTCGTGTATTTCATTAATGTTATACCAACATAAATACAAATGTAATGCTTCAGTAATCTAAGCATCAAAAATAAATAAAAACGTACAGCACACCTTTATTCTCGCAATAAAGTAAATTATGAGAATGTTACCTATAATATTACTATATTGATTTTTAGGTTTCGTATATATATTTTCACGCACCATTAATTCAGATACAATTTTCTTTGCGTTAAAGGATCTTCAAGAGTACACCTACGTCCATTTTTTTGTTAAATTGTAATAAATTCGATGATCTTTTCTTACTTCACTTCTTACAAATTTTATTAGTCATGTCAAGGCTATAAATTTGATATGCTTTTAGATAGAAATGACCAACCCAAGGAGTTCATAGAATTCTCATTATAAAAAAATATTTATATAATAGGATGCAAGTCTTAACAAATTGTATTGTATAAATTGTATATAGAAACAAAGTTTAAATTAAGGCATTCCTATAAATTACATATATGGTCTGAAAAAGTATCACCATTAATTATCACCGTTTAGAAAAAAGTTTATATATACAGAAATTTAATATATATATATATATATATATGTATATATGTATAATTATATATATAAATAAATATATAGATAATATATATATAAATTAATATATTAATATAATTTGTATATTATATAAAGTGACGTTATAATGAAGTCTGAAAAATTGAGAATTAGAATTGAATAATTGTAATGAATTTTATTACTTATGAAGACTTATTACTTATTGTAACTTAATGAAATTATCAGTGATTGATTGATAATAATAATTTATAACAAATACATAAAAAATCTGACTGGTTTAGTAATGAAGTCTATAACATCCATCGCGTTGAAATTCCAATGTATCGATCCAAAGGTTTCTTCATAGAATTTATTTTATTTTATTTTTATTTAATTCCAATGAAATAAAATGATAAAATATGTGTGTAGTATATTTTGAAAAGCTAGTGCTTTGAAGTCAAGTTATAAACTTGTTTTCAACGATGAACAGCAAAACAAACTTCTAAAACAGTAGTCATATTTGTGTTGTCAGTTTTGATCATCGCGGTGAAAACTTCGCAGACACTATTGTAATCAAACATGCTCATTTAAATATTTAAATGTATCTACGTAATATATTTATAAAACTCACATATATTAATATAAAACGCAGAATTATTCTATAAATTCTCTTACGAAATGCAAAACCGGATTCCCGATATACCGCCCGAATTCTCCGGTACCGATATTTTCGGTATTTTTACATAAAAGTTACTGTTCTTAAGTCTTGAAAATTATGCTGATTTAAAATTGTATACAGATAATATATTTTATTATAATAATGTAATATGATCTTTAATGAATTTTTAGTCTTTCTTACTCATACGTATGATTTTAGTGAGAAGTACTGAAGTACTCAATATACTCTATATAATTATTATTAAACAAATACACTTGTTTTTTCATTGTTTAGTTGCAAATGATTGTATAAATATTTTTATATGTTTGTACAAGTAACTATCAATTTTGTTTACATTTGTTTAAGATAATGAAAATGCCGGTATTTTACCGTTATTACCGGTTTTAAAAGAAAAATATTGAATTACCGGTAAAGAAATTTTTTATCGGTATGGCATTCCCTACTCTTAGGGTCTGACAATTGGATAAGCATAAACGAAATGTTCATCTACTGCTGCTAAATGTTCATATTTTGCAACATACTTTTTCTAATACAAAATTTCAATGCAAATAGATTATTTTTGTTATATAATTATACAAACTAGCAGAAGTATGTAAATACTCCACATGCTCAATGCTCATCTGTTCTTTCCAAGATCTGCCAAAAGCATCAAAAGTTCGAATCGAAAGAAGGTATTATCATTCTCGATTTTTTTGATTTGAACAACTTAACCTACGCAAAGTTAAATAAGAATAGGAAACCTTTATACCTTTAATAAAATAATAACTCATACATAATAAGCAATCTCTTGGATCTTCCGCTTGAACAATCTCATGTCTCGAACGAGAACGCTACTCATAATATATCCATTATCTGAGTTTATAGGTAACATATCTGCTTGAGAAATATGATACAGTTTTTTCTATCGACACTATGTATTCTACTTAAAAGCACTTCTATAATCTTCTTGTTCAAAAACATTCGTTCTATTCGAATGCAAACTATTTCATTATTCATAGAATTTTTTATTAGACCGCAGAACTCGAAATGAAAACATTAGCGAGTTGTATTTAAATTATGTGCAAATACTTGTATTTTATTAAATCCGTAGTTGCTGGTACTTGATGAAGAGGTGAGTGGTTGGAAGTCGCTTATTAAATGCAAATAAATTATAAACTGTTTTAATTTATTTCCTCAATGATATTCATTTGTATTCATTTACTCTGTTTGCAGTTATGACTTGAAAAAAGTCATTATAAAGTTAAAGCAAAAATAGAGTTAGTGTACGATTTAAAAAAATGGTATAAGGAACAATTTACATCTATATTTTATCGCTCGTAAAAAAGTAGTACTGTTTATAAACCAAAAGTTGCTAAAATAATATAGCAATTAATACGAAATATATCTACGTATATACTTCATTCAATTCCACCCAAATATAACATTTCTGTACATCAACCATGACGGTTTCAATTCAATTAGACTCCGTTTCTCATAACAATGTAAATGAAATTTTGTTGTATTTATTTTTAGCTTTGCCATATATTAATTGGTGCATATGTTTGAACTTTGCCCTTTTCATATGCTAAATAGCATTTCTGAAATATATGGAAACCAATACGATACCTATATGAAAACATAGGAACTCGTGTTTCATTGTCTAATAATTCAACATCCACTTCATGTTGTATGAAACTGTTATATCGAGATTTGTTTTCAAAATAAAAATGTAGTTCTGAAAATGTGTCTGTAACAAAATAACAAAATGTTATTTTGAGATACGTGATATAAAATCTGTTAATTATGAAGTCAAAATATTACATTTAACATCTGTAAGAACGCTCTAAATGAAAACTTAAATTTAAATAATAATCAATTAATAATAAAATATTATTGACTAAAGAAAACGTTTAAAATAATATTTTTTTCCATTTACGTAGAAAAATCGAGCGACTACCTCAATAATTATGTATTTATAATGAAAATTCACCAAAATAGTGTAATTCCTCCAGATTATTCATAGTTTATTGAATTCAATCTTATAGGTAGAATATATAACAGAAATAAATATTTTAACTAAAAAGAATGTTTATTTACAGATGTTCGGTTCTCCTGCAACGCCAGTCTTGGAAAATCCTGAATATCAAACAAGATGGTATTTCAAGTATTTTCTAGGAAAATGTAAGTATTATCGCAAACGCAGAAGTTTTATTTGAATTATTCAAAGCTAAATTTTCTATCGTCTTTATTTATTTTATTATAGTAGTTTTGTTATATGTTTTTCAGAATCGTGTAATATAGACGATGATTAGAATAATCTTTACTATTTTTAATTTCAAAATACTAAATGCATGTTGTAAAAACTTTTTATTTATAAACAAACAAGTAGATAAAATTAATGAGCAAATATAAAATTGAGCAAACATCAAAATTCAAAGAAAATTATATTTATACTTATATTTATTGAAATCTTTATAAATAAATCTTATCTGACGTGTCAAATAATGATTTACCAAATGGTACTAGATCTTTGTCAAACATCAATTAAAAAAATCAAATAAACAAATTCTAAAATATTTATTCATCTAAAAATGATTCTGGTAATATAAGCCAGCACATATAGGTACGTACATTATTGTTGTCCTTAATATGGACACTTTTGAATTTCATTGCTCCCAAGGGCTCAAATAGTTCCAAATTGATAAAAAACAATTCTCTTAAAGTTTTAGCTCTTAATATTGTCTTTTAGATAGAGCGCAATTCAATCAAAGTTTTGTATGGAAATAGCATAAAAAGATTTTCAAAAATTTTGCAGAGCGTCGAATTTTCAATAGAAAATGACACGAATTTTCACTTTTAATTCATTTGTCGCTAAGTTATACCTAAAATTTTTTTTTAATTTTTAAAGTTTTTTCCATACTATTTCCATACGAAGTTTGATTGAGTTGCGCACTATCTCAAAGTTAATATTAAGAGCTAAAACTTTCAGAGAATTGTGTTTTATCAGCTTGGAACCATTTGAGCCCTTGGAAGCAAGGAAATTCAAAAATGTCCATATCAAGGACCACTCTGAGGTACATGTATCTTACACAAGCTTATAAATATACCTTGTTACTATTCCTAAATTATTAAAAAAACTTGTAACGTAAATATACTAATTATTTTGCAACCACAATAATTATTTTTCAAAATATGAAAAAATGGTATTTATTATTAATCAATATCGATTAATATAATAATTTTCTTAGATTATTATAATTTCTCCTGATTTGAAATATGAGGTGTTCGAAGTATGAGAAAGCTTTTGTCTAAACTATATGAACATACAGTTTATATGTTATTAAATATAAACATTCTGATTAACGAATCAAAGTATAACAATTACAATTCTTTCTTCATATGTTAATTTATCTTCGTATAAAAAGTTTCTTGATAGCATTATTTTTAGGTGTCCTTTCTGAAACCCTGGTATTTCAGTGATATATGATCAGTATGTATAATTAACATATTGTATATAGTTTGCAAAACTTGTATAACTTAACCGTCGTGTGTGTTTAACCCACCGGTCATGTACATAGTTATTCAGTAGTTGTTATTGCAGAACAAGCGAAAATCTGAAGGTAACAGTTGATTGCACAATTAGCCAGAAATTGCACCAGATTTACTATATGATTGTGTGGTTTTGTTACATATTATAATATTTTGTCTAATATTCGAATTTATGGTCTTTATATAACGCCTCAAAATGCTCTGGTATTTGTGCTTTGTTCAAAACTGACTAAAATTTCAACAGAAATTTT